CATTGCAAAAAGAAAATGCCATCTTTATCTTAATCTTTATCTTCACTTTAATTAGAAGATCACAAAGATTTTCTAAAACAATAGCAGATTGATATGCTTCTTTTCTTTTTATTCGGATGCAAGTTGCATGTGCTGCGATGCCAGAATTTGTCGAAGTATATGGGTAGGTCGTGTCGAATTTCATTAAATTTACTAGTAGAGATCACAAGCTTATACAGTATTTGACTTAAGTCCTTTTCTTCTCCATATATAGCTTACTTCCCATCATTTTCATTTGATTATACTATTAATGATGATGATTATGATAATAATAATAATAATAATAATAACAATAACGACGAGGACTTTACTATGAAGCTTTAGTATATTGTACAACCTCAGCAACGTGGGGGAATCAACCTTCATATCAGCTTTATGTAGGTTCGTTTTAGATAAGGTGGGAATAGTTGCAAATGCCAGGAGAGTTTCTTGAGCATGAGGTACTTTTCCTTCCTAAAGAAGCAAAAGTTTGTCTAGGACAAAGTAGGCCGGCTGAAGATCCTTCCCCACATTGTTTGAGCCCTCTTGCATTTACTTCCATCTCGAGACATAAGACTGGAAGAAATTGTCGAATCTCTAGAATATTATACATATGCCGTATACTCCCTTTTCTTATGGACAATTTCTTTTAACAAACTTATTATTATTTTTAGCCTTGTGGCTTAATTTATTCGGAAAAGCCTAAATAGTTTTTTTGGTAAATATACGGATATCCAAGCTGAATTGAATGTCAACCATCAACGTAATGGCTCGCACTGCTGAAAATCTCTGATATAATAGCTCTCACCGCCGGCAAATCTCACCTCACTCTCCTCCTCGTCCTCCTCCTCTGCTCCGCCCATGCTGTATTAAATGTATTGTTTAGGTCTCCATGTTATCGCAGACGTCCAAGCTGCCCGGGCATACCATCTTGCAAAATCTTCGGAAACCATTAGTCCCTTTGCCATCTTCAATGTCCGCCTGCAACCTTCAGCAACCGTCAGTCCGGTTGCATTCCCTACCCTCGCAGCCGACGCGGAGGTCAGGGCCCAATGGACGAAGGTGCGGCAAAATGAAGGTGCAACTGCTAGTGCGAGGAAGGTGCACGAGACAAACGGGGATGACAGTTGTGGCTCCAATTAGCTATGGAGGAGGGTAACGACAATGCTAGTGCTCCAGATCTGGCCATGGAGCTCCTCCGCGGCCAAGGTCGAGTCGAGTTTAGCAACGGAGGAGCTCCAATCTGGCCATAGAGCTCCTCCATGGTTGAGATCGATTTGAGCTCGTCACCATGACGAGCCTCGTCAATGGCAACGGGACGAAGCTCAATGGGAGGCCGCGGGTGATGGCCATGGGTGGGTAGAGGGGACAAAGAAGAGAGATGAGTCCGTCCCCTTTACCCGCACATTAGGATTATTATATTTTTGTTATATCTCTCTTATATCCGGATTATCCTAGCAACCAAATGTAGCCTAGGGTATAAGATAAAGGTTCTTTCGCGAGGAAAAAGACCGAGAGGCTTAATCGGGCCAGCTAAGTTGCTTTGGCCTGATTTGTTGTCCAAATCTCGGGTTCAAACTCAACTCAATTAAGTATTTCACACGCTTGGGCTTAAGCTCTATTCATGTTGATCATCAAAAACCAAATCTCTATGTAAATCATTTTCACTTTTCTTAACAGGAAATAATTACTTAATGACCATTGCCGGTTGCTTGAATCTATACTATCCCATAAAATCAACTTTCGAAATTTGCGTCCACCAGCAAAAAAGACCTAAAATTCCATGATAAATAGGATGTCTTCTTCAAGGCAATAAATGATAATTAAGTGTGATCTAATTCGCAATAGCGAGGGGTCGGTTTCTCTTAGCAATATGAGTGAGAGAACCGTGCACTTAGAGGCCTGAATGATAATCGAAGAGGCATGAAAGTTAAAATGAATTTATTTAGAGTTATGAACCCCCTCAAAAAAAAAATTGAGTCTGTTTTGTAGCCAAGCAACTTATGATATCTACCGATCTCTTGATATGCATATTAATCTTAGAATAATTGTTATGCCGATTATTTGATTTGGACCCTAACAAATGCGATAACGAAGATCTTGCGAACGCATCTGTTAACATAAAAACCAAAATGGATTTGACATCACTTAACATCATCTATAATCGAAATCGAAATCGAAATTTGAAGAGTTGACATAGTCAACAAAAATTGTGCAATTTCCCGCAAACAAATAATCCATACTATTTACATAGATATGCAAAATGTCTAACTTCTTCATATGCACAATATGCAACCTCTTGATATGCATAATTCCAGACCTTCGTTTCACGGATCTTCACATCGTGAGCCTTCCACATGGAGGATAACTTGTATATGCTTCTGTTGCTACGCATGTAGTTTCAAAATAGGACAACTAGTTTTATTTTTTGTAAAAATAGGTTTAAATTATGACTAAGTACATTTTCTTTTGCCAATAGAATAAAAGTAAAATGAGTAAATGCGAACTTGTTTCATTTTAACTCTTTGCTATATAGATTAACGCACATGGGTAAAAAAAGAACTACAAAGCACGTAGGCAAAAACTGCACATTTGATATTGCAAAATTATAATTCAAAAATAGAAACATAAATTGAGAATATTGTATGGGTTACTCAAGATACGAATGGTAACATTTCTATTTCTGGAAACAACTGTTTAATAATAGGTTTTTCTAATTTTTATTTCCTAAACGAGTTTCTGAGCAGCAGAAGAACGCATTTGATATATGCACAAAATTTCTCTACTCCCTAACCCGAATGGAGTGATGATGCAGCTTATGGGCCTAGGAATGAGAGATAAGGGAAGGAGAATTGGGCCTGATGGAAGCCCGACAGGACCCGAAGGAGACGGATCGGGTGTGTCGACTCTCTGTTCTCAATCATACGAAACAAAACGATGCCGCACGCGAAGCACACCAATGAAATCCCCGATTCCAGCAGGGGACTACTGTCTGAACGGATAAGAGGCATGTTCTCCACCTTCCATTGATGATCTGCCATTCCATTCCAGTGCAGAAGAAGGAACAATGTAACACAGACCGAGAAGGCGAAGAAGAAGTACGATCTTGCCGCGCCAACAAGAACCCCGCGAAGCGAATCTAGCAACTCCCACCGTTATCTGTCTCTGTGTCTCTCTCTTTGATCTGCAGTTGCTGTTATGGCCGTATGCGTATCTTTCATTGCTGCCTGTGTGCGCGAGCTTCGTCGGTGCTGCTATACCGGAGAATTGGTTGACTGGGACATGTGTTGTCCGTCGGGGAGTTTCCTAATCTTGAATCGCGCAAATCCGTCCTACGTCATATCCTTGTTCTGCATTTCCACTAGTCGATTGTGCTCGCTGATTGATCCTTCGTGACGAGATGCGACGGCCATGTTCCGCGGGGAATGCAGATTTTAGTTGATTTTATGTGTCCGTGTATAGAGGAATAGTATTCTGTTCTTTATAAACATTTCCTCAGCTAGCTAAACAGTACAGATTTCTTTGCTTTATGACATACTAACGGCCAAAGTACGGGGATCAGTATATAGCAAGCATTATAACGTTTACAAGTTAAGCAATGAGGTAACTTCATGATTGATTTTTGTGGTTTGAGTTAGAACTTCACCAAACACACTAGATAGTATTATCTTATCTGGGCTGTCAAACGCGCCCTAAGGAGTTTGGCTAGGTCCGGCGCAGCTTTGGGAATGGACTCTGGGCCTCGAAGGCCTTGGCGTCAAAGTCGAGGTGTTTGGTAAGAAAATTTGAAAGGCCTTTGAATCGAAGTTGACATATCCAAAGTCTCTTGGCCCAATGAAAATCCTACCTAGCTTTAGCTTTGACCATTTTTTCAATGCTAATGATTTTTTTTTTTCCAATTTTTTGAATAATGGATCAACAATTGAAGTAATAGTGATTATGTTATGTCGATGAGACATGGCTACCTGTTATGTTATTATTATCCAATAATATAATTAGCATAATAGTTGCTCCCTATATGGCACGGTCATCTAAACTTTCATAAATTGATATTAAATTATTCATAATATAGCTATCATCTTAATTTCTTATTACATTAAATAATGCTCAAATTTTCGGTTTAATTATTGTTTAAAGCGTACTATTAATAATGTAATAATTAATATTTATTTGTATATGCTCACATACTACATGATTAAACTTAAATGAATGATCATAAATTACGTCTTAAACGATAGACAAAAACTTATACATAAAACTGTAATGTCTTGATGAGATATTACATGCATGATTGACAAATCGAATGATAATCATGATACTACAAGATTTATTTAAATATAGTCACACATCGTGTACTTCATTCGCAATTATAACCATAAATGAATAACTGATGTAACATACTAGACATCTAATAATTTATATGGGGTATTAAACTCGTGAACCACAATGACTATTAAACCGACGATTATAGATTTCCTTCTCATTCAAATTTTAGGTATATTTTCGGAATTTCGATGCTATTCTTCCCTTATTGCATATTTCATTCATGAAGTCAAATAGTCTAACATGTACATATTATTTAAGGGTGCATTTGTTTCGCGCGAAATGCATGATTTCGAAAATATTTTCATAAAAACGATCGCTCGTATCGCTTATCAAAATGAACGAACAAAAAGTATTTTTATCATTCACGAAAATATTTGATATAGATTATTATATTTTTCATCGATTAATTATTTCGAGTGATGCGAATGATTATTTTTAAGGAGATATTTTTCAAAACCATGCAATGTTTTCCCAAAACAAACAAACAAACGGAGGTTAAATCAAAACGGCGTAAATAATGATTACGGTTTTTTATTACATTGCAGCAGGATAAGCTGTCGCATTCCGGTCGGTCGGGGTGCATTGACTTTCTGACCTCAACCCGGCAGAACGACGTCGCGTCGCTGATGGATAACTCCCAACAATGACGACGACGACGACGATAACGACAGAAAGAACACGGGCCTCTTCTCTTCTCCTCCTCCCTATCGACGACTCGTCGTTTCGTCCCCTGCGCAACCGAAGAATCGCTACCGGAGATCGAAACCAGACGGATGCGAACGAGAGATCTCGTCGCCCTTCCGATACGAGCCACCCCCCTCGCCGCACAGCAATTCCACCGATCCTCCGCCGGTCCGGTATCGCCTCTCCCTCCTCCCTCTCGTTCATCTGCAATTTGTCGTTACGGTCGTAGCGCATGTATCCTGCCGTTGTCGGTTCCCCGGTATGGTGGAGGATCGGTCGGCCGCGACGCGACGCGTGCCGTTCGTTGGTTGCGGGAGTTTCCCTGAATCGCGCGAATCCGTCCGTGTCGTGTCCGCGCCCCTGCGTTTCCGTCGGATGATTTTGCGCGCCGATTCGATCCTCCCCCGTGAAATGCCGCGGCCATAGGTTGGGCGGTGATGTGAATGCAGATTTTAGCTTGGCTTCGTGCGTGTATGTGTGTTGGGAATGAGGGAGAGAGTCCTTAGTTTCATGATATGCTAGCTGCTGAAGTATGGGGATTGGATACCTCAAACCGAATGATGTGATTCCATTGATACTCTGATGGTAGGAGTTATAATTTCTTGGTTAATTTCGCCGTCTCGTAACTTGCCAGCACTCTGCGCTCGTTTATGCCTAAATTGCCTTGTTGTAGAAGTCATCCGAGGATATGCTCGGCGAGCCACCTTCAAAGTCGTGATTATCTTCAGACGGCATCGGAATTTCCTTTTATAAAATTTTGATTTCTTCTTCTGTACCTGTGACAGAGTTTCTGTGTACGCGAGCCGTGACGTCATCGTGACAACCATTAGATGGAGACGAATGTTGCTTTCAGAAGGGCTAAGTCAGTTAATCATTTCTCGGATTGCACTCGTGGATGAGTTTTAGTTCTTTCGGTGAATTCCGCGATCCATCTGGTCACTTATGTGGCCTTTATATCTTCTCCTAAACAAGATTCTCAAGGCAGAAGAAGACGAGGATAGTGTGGAAGTTCAAAGATCGGGTGAGGGACACCCTAGTTCGGTGGAGGATTGCAAATGCCATGAGGAAGTACTGCCTCGAGCACAATTTATTGAAGTTAGTGTCTGGTTCTGATAGACGATCTGTACTGTTTGGTTTTCTGAAGCCAGATCCGTAAATTTATTCCTTCATAGTAAAACATATTACAGGTGCCGCATGTAAATCAGCTTTCTCAATGGGATTGCGGGCTTGCTTGCATATCGATGGTTTTGAGCACTATTGGCATCAAAACTTGCAGTGTTGGCATGTTGGCTGACCTGTGCTGTACAAATAGGTATCCCCTATTGCTCCGGTTTTCATATATTTCCGTTTTTGTTATGATATATTTTTAACAAATTGTATCGATCTTACTTTTACAGCATATGGACAGTTGATCTGGCATACCTATTGCAGAAGTTCTCTGTTAAGTTTTCCTACTACACTGTGACATTAGGTGCAAATCCTGGTTACTCAGATGAAATTTATTACAAGGTAATCATTTTCTTGGATATTAACATTTCCACGCATTAGTATAACTTGCGAGTTGTTAAAATGATGCTTTTGTTTATCGTCAGATATTGTACTTTGTAAGTTTTGTTGATATATTGCTATCAAGCATGTTTCGCTTTTTAATAGTACGACAACACAAATACAGATCACAAAATTAAAACCTTCTTGTCACAAAGTCGGGTTGACCGCATGGGTGCTTTTGCGCTGTTGTGCTCTGCCCTGTGCCATATCCTCCTTAATATTCAAGTACATGTGGACCATCATACTGTGTTGTGAGAAATATTAAGCCAAAAGCTATGTCTAAACAGGAATGATTTGCTCTCAAGGATTCTTCTGATATTTGTTGCTCTAGTTTATGGTTCGCTCTATTGATTCCTAAGAGTCCTTTCTGGCCTTGTTTTTCTGATTCATGTAAATTTGAATTCGATTCATTTTGTGATTATTACATGTATCAATTTTAAAAGGAAATCAAATGCATTTGACCATCTCGTCGGACATTCACGTTCATAATCATCTAATAATTCAACTCTAATCTAGAAACCGCAGTGCTATACAGAAGTGGTTTCTTGGAAAATATTTTGTTCTTCTTTTAAAGTAGTAGAAGTCTCAGATTCAATCCAAAAATATCATCTGAATTAACTGTTTGTCCTTTAAGAATTTTGTTTTGAAGATCCTCCCGTGAGATTATTGATCCAATCTTGTGCACTTTATTTGAGTGAGAAATCTGATGAAGAAACTAAGCAAATGTACAAATTGGACTGACGTCGAATTTTCTCGATCATACTGCTTCTGCCTTCTAAAGTGGATTCCATTTCCCTGGCATCCTGGAGCTAATTTTGGATTAACAACTAGTATATTTGCCCATGCTTGGGTTATATAAAAAGAATTTCCATAAAATTATGTTAAGTAAAATCGCTTATCTACTCGCACATTCAAATTATACGAAAATATTATTTTTAGAGTTATAGCAGTGACAATAATCATAAAATTGTAAAAGAAGTATTACTTGAAAACAAGGTATATCATTTGGAAGATAATTGAATATCATGGGTTCATTTGCCTTATTTGTAAGTATACTCTACACTTACCAAATATCTCATACGTCATATTTTAACAAAAAAGAATTAATCACAAACTATTTCTTTATAATTTGGCTTGAGCGTTTGGTCATTTTGTTTAGTAATTAGTATCCTGTAAGTAACTAACTCTTGTTTGTATTTTGCTACACGTTGTGTTGAATGGAATCGAAGTAATTTTACTCTTATAGTGTATTATATTGCGACGAAGCCAATTATTTTTCTATAGATATGAGTAGATTTTTCTGTAAATATATCACATAACATATCATGCATAATAGAGTGAATTTTACGTGATGAATACAATTACTTTCTCATTTTCGTAGAGTTAATATTACTACTTATCACTTTAGATATTGCTAAAAAGACGTAACATTTATAGCTATGTTAATATTTTATAAAAAGGTTCTCTTGATTTTTTAATAAAATATTTTCTAATTCTCATATTTAAATTTTACTTCTTATTGTCAATAGATTTTCCTTTGAACTTTTTCTTGGAAAAACTAAGTTTTCATTTGGAAAAGGAAAGACTCCATTCATTAAAACTTTATGCATTTAATGTGCCAAACTCAATTTACTATAATATATTAGATTTACAGCCCTTGCCTACGTCTTTTACTTACAATAACTGAATTGTAAATACCAGCTCATGAGAATCAACAACTCACTCATAGGTCAGGCTATCTTTGTCTTTCGTATATGGTGTCTGAAAAAAGATGATGACTCGTAGTATAATATTAATAGTCAGGTTCTTTAGGTATTTGTCTTATGAACATCATCATCTAGATATGATTATTCTTAGTTGCTTTGCCTTTTACTCTATTTATTTACAGGAGCAATTGCCCACAGATGTAGTTCGAGTGAATAAACTCTTTCATGACGCTATAGAAGCAGGAATTTCTATACAGGTAAAACTCAGTGACTGCAAGATTGATTGCAAACATATTGCAACATTCTATGTTTGTATTTTTTTTTTTTTTTCGCTTGCTTGAATATCACTAGGATCTTACCTTTCTTGAGATAAGTTGATGACCCCTCTCTTTTAACAGTGCAGATCAATCAGTGAAGAACAAATTTCTCTGTTAATTTTGTCTGGGAAATATGTTGCAATTGCATTGGTAGACCAACATAAATTGAGGTAGATCACTGTAAAATTTATACCTTTTGAATCTATCATCATTTTTAGCTTTCCTTTCTTCTCTGTCTTCTCACTATGAATGGCTCATTTGAAACCTGCTGTCACTTTCTTGATAGGCGTCCTGAATATGTGGTTCTTGCCTAGTAAATAGAATACTTCTCCACTCATGCTTCTTTTTTCACTCATTAACTTCTTTTTCCAGACAATCCTTTTGTCTGAGATTTGGAGATTAATGTGCTTGTTCCAAATTATTTCCTGCAGTAGATCATGGCTAGATGATAGTTGTGCTTCTGGCTTGGGGGACAGTGTGTCTGGCTATACAGGTAACTTTAGCACTTTTCTTGCTCAGTCGTGATACTTAGAGTTTTATCTTGTTATAATGCAGAATTTGCAAAGATGACAGTTGTTAGGAGCACTTTGTTCAATGGGAGATTATTTGTAGCTTTAAAATTGTCAAGTACTTCTAAGCGACAGCCTTGTTGCTGATTAGATTTTATGTATTTCCTTGTTGAAGAGGATATGTGAGAACTACTTACTGAAAGAATGGAGCTCTTATTTTGGTCAGTCAGTTCGTGCATTTCTCTATTTTTATTAGATCATACTCACATCATATGTTAGTTTGAATTTAGTAATAGGGAAATAGAAACTGTTGAAGTCAATTGTTGAGCTGCTTTTAAAATTGATAATGTTGATTTCACATAGAAGTAGAGTACTTTAGCCATTGCAGGACTAGCTGTCAAGGTGGAAAACTTCTCACGTCCATAATCTTATTTCTGTCTATAATCTGTTGGTTCCCTCCTCACTTAAATTTGTTTCTCATTACAAACCAATTATGAATTGCAAATATGGCACATGTCAATTCATGGATCTCGTGTCTCACTTTAGGTCACTACATTGTGATATGCGGCTATGATGCAGACAAAGATGAGTTCGAGATCAGAGATCCTGCCAGTTCTAGGTATCTCTTTTGAGTCTTCAGCTCTCCAGTTTCTTCCTGATGGACAGAGACTCGTGCTATGTCTTGGAGATTAGCTACTGTTTTTCTTCTTTTATGCGATTAGCTCATTAAGTGACATGATCCGAAAGCATATCCTGGATATCAGGGATAAATTATTAGTTCAGTCTCCAGCATTATCTACAAATAAGCAATCTCTTGAAAAAATATGGTAGCATATAAAATCTAGATTAACTTCTAGGGCACGTTGTTATATGGTAACAAATATTCAACAGAAGTTCACATATAACCTCCTAAACAGAAAGAATTATTTGCTAGGAGCATCTATGAAATCCTTGTGCACATCTGTGCAGGCATGTGCCTGTGACATATGCGTTGATGTATCTCGTGTGCATCTATGCACTCATGTACCTGTGACATATGCTTTGATGCATCATGTGTATCCGTGCATGCATGTTCCTGGGAAATATGCTTTGATCCTTTCACCATTGTATTCTTTTGCTTCCTTGTGTACATGGCTTTGTTGAGTATTTTACTTAAAAGTCCATCTTTGTTGTGTGCAACTTAAACGATGCTACTGTTAGTATAAAAGGTCAAAATCTGTGGCGACCTCGTTGATGAGATTCTTTGCCTTGGAAGATAACAGTTTAGCACATCTGCCTGTACTGTTTGCTTGAAATGATCTTGAGAATATCTTTATAGAGATTTGGTATGTTCTTGTTTTCGGGAGCTTCTTTCTTAAACACGTGGATTTGGTTATTACACGTATGTGTAGTGTACATTGGGAGAATAACCTTGTGTTTTCTTTCCTTAAAGGGAGAATAAATTTGGTTTAACTGTGCAGGAATCAAGAAAAAGTTACATCAAGATGCTTAGGGGAAGCCCGCAAATCATTCGGCACAGATGAGGATATTCTTTTGGTAAACCAGTTAATTTTGTTGCAGATTTTGCATTTTCAGTTTATTGGCTCTGAAATAGATTATTGATCGAGCTCGGAGATTTAACATTCAGAGTATTTTGTTCATGATTAATAGCTGTGCTCTTAGTTGTCAAATATTCATGGTTATAGAAAATAAATTTTAGGAACTTGGCTTGGATTATGGCAACCTCACCAGCTATACTCGGTCACTATCCTCAAGTTAAGTTGTCTGAGTACATATCACAGTCTCACCATACCAGTTCCTCCTTCCCTAGATGCCTGGCTTGTTTAAATGGCTTTGCCTCGTGCAAAGAGGAAATAAGTGGAAATGATGAGTGGAGTGAGAGGATGCATATGGTGACTGTACAATTGGCTGGACCCAAAAAAGATAGCATTTCTATTATGATTCTAAGAGCATTGGAACAATGAACGACTATAGTTAAAAGTGGAAGTTGGAAAGTGAAAGGAAATGACTTTTGGCAGTCTAGGCTATGTATATTTTGCAGTAGGTCGTTATCATAGGTGACTGAATTCCATGATGATTCAGGAAGGTTAATCTGATCACAGACCTGGTCAAGTTAACTACATAAACTAACACAACTTTCTTAAATATAAGTCAACACTTTTGAAAGCTCTAAACGTACTTGGAGTTTCTGCCAGACTTTGCCTAGCATTACAAATTAAATGATTTATTCAGCAACGTCTTTAAATTATTGTGTCAGAACTTTGTACTACTTGAGCCAAAAAAAATATTTATATGCAAATTCCTTACAAGCTGAGGGAGTGCTGATGTTTTAATTGGACCAGAATGGAATGTCCATTCAACTACCTTTTTGCTTTTACTTTCTCCTTTTTCTGGTGTTGATACCAGTTTGACCCACGAAACTCAGCATTGAAGTGCTAATGTTTTGTGTTTGGCATGTGGTCCATAAAAAACGTTGAAAACTGGTTTGACTTTCACTTTGTATTGTGATCTCTCCGCATTTATTCAATGAAACATTTTGGCAATTGAGCTGTGTGCCATGTTCTTTCGCTAATAGCCGCATTAAATTACAAATTGTCAAACCATTGTTCCAGATAAAAAAAAATTTCCTGCATCTAGGGAGCACTTCTGGCACTTCTATCTTTTTTAGTAAGTGCTATCTACTTTAGATTGCTTAAAACATTATCTGCTGGATGTTGCACCTTTTGTAAAATTCTGAAAGTAGCTTTGATGGCTTCATGTATTGCCGGAACCAACGGAATGGTTTAAGCAATTGTAGAACGGATCGAGGCCATTATTATTTTTTCCTCTCATGCGAAAACTATTGAATTCCTCATCAGAACCCCTTAATTTTGATTTTACATGCAGATATCCTTGGAATAGAGCAAGAAGTGCAATAGCTCTCCTGGAAAACTTCGTTCTGCTCATTTCGATGGCGATCCTTGATGCTGGAGCGCAAGGGATGTGATCAGGTGCACCTACTATACTAAACCTGATTGTTGATGATGAGTACTATAGTGGAATTACATGTACAGCTCTGTGGTCCACATGCACATTACATGCATGCATTCATTTGTATATGTGTATTCAATTGCTGCTTGTACATCGTTGTGTATATCGACTTACTTCTCACCTTTACTCGGTGATCTTGTGTACTTTTAATGGACAAAATTGGGGACAGAACTTTGGATGAGTAGATTTCTTACACAACTGAAGATGAGTAGCTTCGTTAGCTGTCGTCCGCTCTTTTTTTAGATCTGTCTGTTTGTATATGCAGCCAATAGGTACAGAGCAATTCCTGTGTTATTTCCATCTCTGCCGCCGCATACGTATACGCAAAAAATTCTAAATTGATCGAGATTTCTACGTAAGGAAGGGAAAAAGCCACTAAAAGCGATAAGTCTTGTTTCACTACAACGTTGACGCCAGTCAGAGAGGCACAAGCATAATTTACCACTAAAATATTAAGGCAAATATATGTAGCATAGGCCTCCACAATTAGTTATATTTGCTGCTATTCCCAATTCCACATTAATATAGAGAAGTGATGATACCAAATGGGTTTTAGAATTCGTTTATTTCGTGAAAAACGAATGATTTGGATAACTTTTTTAAAAAATGATTGCTTGTACCGTTTATAAAAATAAATAAGAAATATTTTCATCGGCGTAAATTTTTAGATGTAAATTGTTAAACGTTTTTTATCGACTGATTAGTAATGATCATCTTAAGGAAAAAAATTTAAATTATTATTTTTTCGTGAAATAAATAGAGCCGGAGCTAGCTAGTGCGGCGTAATCTTTCGCCTGCAAACATCATATGTTCTGTAGTGGCCTAGCGGCATATGACACCTGCTTCTGCAACTGCAGCATTTGTCACCGTTTGCTTTATCTAATCACTAGAAACTAGAAAAAAAAAATAAAGAATGAATAAAAATCAATTTATTTATATCTGACCCATGACTTATAGGGGCAAGACTAACACTTGCCTCACCGGTATTTCAATTAAAATGTATAGCCTTAAAAAATAAATTGTCAAAAAGTAGAACCAATATGTGTCATGAAAAATTATCTCCTTTTTGTTTGTGGGTCCGTGTAGAGATGAAACTGAGGGCTTGCCTGATGACCCGGTCGCCGAGGACGAAAGTAGTCCCGTCCCACCGTTTGACCGTTGACCGGTTGACCGCGCCGTCATCTTTCTTCTGATTGGCCGCGCTAGCGGCTGGTGCATGTGAAGGGCAGGGTGTGCCAAAGCAGAAAATTATTTTCTGTTCTTCTCTTTTTGTGTAGCCTCTTTGCATTGCATCGTGCAGATGCAGCGGTAGCAGCTCGTAGGGTATCCGATGCTCTTTTTGGTCTTCGACAGACGTCGAGTCGTGTGTTTTTCCTGAGACAGATGCCCGGTTGCAATTACAATAGCCGGGTTCATAATTTGATGGGAATGTTCTGTGTTTTATCAACGTGGGATGTTCAGCTCGAAGAGTGGCTTCGAGGTAAATGGTTGTGAAGAAGAAAAAACTAAAAGAGATGCATTCGGATGGATGGAATTTCCAATGAGACGTTCGGGTTATAGATTGGATGTTCTAATAGGGTATCACTATCAGAGCACGTGTTGAGAGCTCAAATCGCGCACTTCCCTCTCAACTCATAGCTCATCTTGGGTTCACGACAATCGGCATACACAAAATAGGAGCCGTGTGTTAGGATTGGGTGTACAAACGCAACGAAATAGAGAGTAAAGTCCAAAAAAGAGAAATCGAGGTACGGGATTTTATCTTGGTTCACCCTTAAACTAGAGCTATATCTAGCAGAGGACTTCACTATAATTAGCACTCCTCTGTTACATCACTCCCAATTATAAGAGAAAGAGAAAATATATGTAGGCATTTAATAACAATTCATACATCCAGGCCCAAACTACTGATAAAATATGGGCTCAAACTATAAACGCTTTCTAGCGTCGCGAGAGCGCTGTTCCCTACGACTGCCGTGTCTTTTTGTCGATGGAGAATATGAATCACACTCCAACACTGTACCCATTTCACAAAGAACTAAGTCCAGTGATACATGTGTAAGGGGTCGAGTTACACGCGAGAGGGTGTTAATTTTAATTAAACATCACTTAAAATATGCGGTTATGATGTTTTTATATGCATATTATCCATCTCCACTTGATGATTTAAATTTTTAGATTTGATATTTTAATTATCATGAATTGACGGATTAACTTTTTTCTTGCAACTCGAGCATGTAGTATGTGCATCATCCAAGTATTTTTCATGTTTTACGAAAAGGAATAGCATTAGCTTTGATAAAAAAGAAAAAGTCAAAAGCGGTTTTTGATTCTAGCTTTGCCGAAACAAAAAGTAAACACCTACATATGTATGTGAGACCAATTCAAATGTATTGTTAGATTAGGTAGATCCTACATGATCCTAAGAATAAATCCTCCAATCAATCATAAATTTATTATGTGGATACCAATTTAGTCTTCAAACTTTTAGTTCTAAATTTTTGCACGAAATTCTAATGAAGCTCTTCCAACCAATCTTCGCGCGGAAATCGGTGGCATGGCAGTGTGCCACGTAGGACGACTAGTGATGACTAGACAACCACATCAACGAATTTTCGGCAAAAAGTGACCAAAATAACTGTATTGGAATTTCGCGCAAAAGTTTATTACTAAATAGGCAAAATTGACATATTTATGACTGAATTGGTATCCATACAGTGAATTCAGGACTGACCCGATAATCTTCTCCGTGATCCACCCTTATCCAACGGTGGAGTGCGCCTAAGTTTTTTCGTTAGCAAGAGCATCGAAGTGTGTTTGACTTCCAATCCTTGTCTCCTAGCACTGGGTAATTTTAGAACCCGCAAGAACCGTTCCTCAGTAATCAACTAATAACAAAGAAACAAATCTCTTTCGTTTGTCGAAGCCTTTTCAAATGTTCTAATGTTTCTACACTTTATATTCGAAGCCCGCTAAAAATGTATCATTAGGCGCGTTAATCAAAGGAGGACTGGTAAGGAGCTCTTTCATATTGACTTGCAATAACTTACTTAGATTCCAGTAAGTAAAAGTTAACGAGTTACTCATACGGGCGATTTTTTTGTCGTTTTTACTTTGCCCTATATCTTCATTGAAATTTATTTTCGTCGATTGGATCCGTATTTTATGCAATTGGTGTCATCCTCCCATCAAATTGACCCCGCTTAAACTCCACTTTTGTTGGGATACTTTTTTAAATAACAAGTGAACCTCGACATTGAGTTTTAATCTTACCATCCACCCAGGCCCGTCTTGTCATAACATCTAAATATCATATCACGCCTTCATTTAACAACTTATGCTTTCAGAAAAAGCCAGCAATGATCCTGCGAAATCGCACATGCCTATCTGATCCAGCCTATTCGCACTTATCCGCACGTGACCGTGACCACGACGGTCCACTATTGCCCTCAAGAGCAACCATGGTGGGGGCAGCGGACGAGTCAGATTGACCACAGCAGAAGCCTGTCTGATTCAAAACTCTCTCTCTTTGGATTCTCAGGTAAGCTCGCAAAGCTCAAAGAACGGTGGCAATGCAAAGTTTGGGCGAAGTCAGATTTCTCCAGACGAGAGTAAGCACTTTCGCTCATCTTCTCGAGAAAATTTTGCGGGGAAAATGGTAAAGAACGACCGGCAAAGACCCCCACAACATCCAGGAACAAGTGCGAACACAGCGACCCGTAGAGCGAAACGACAAGAGAGATGGGGTCGTCGAATGGACCAATTGGGGGATCTTCGTCTACTCGTCGTTTTGCGATCCGCACACCAAAACAAGAAACTCCGACCGTTTTCTGGTTTAAAATTCGAATGACTTGGAACAGTTCGGAGGTAGACGAGGAAAGTCCCCACCACCCACTACCACCACCACCATCACCACTTACCACACCACAAGACAAAGTAAGATGCTGCAACGAACGCATTTGTCTTGGGATGTTTTGAAAACGACTGTTGAGTTTTGGTCTCGCTTTGTTTTCGGCGGGAAAATTCAAAAGTTACATTTGGTACATGACAGAAAATATAGTATTTGTAGTGATTTGACGTGCCATTAGAATATCCATCTTCCATGGGTTTATTTATTTTTTAATTAAGAGCTGTTTTGCTCGTTTGATAGCTTGATACGTGACGTTCGTGGAATATTTTTCTTATGAGTAATGATCGAATTAGGTTGTGTGTTTCGTTTCGACGCAACCTTCTAGTAAATTAGTCGGTTTCTCGATTTGACTATGATGGTTGTAATTTTTGGAGTAAATTTTTTTCTGGGCTCGAAGGGAACCCGTCTTAGTTGAATAAGTTGACCTCTAAATCTGAGTTGTACATGAGTCGGCTTGCTTAGTGACGGAAGAGATATTAATTGGGATTAATACCACGAAAAACCTCAAACTGATACACATGTGACAAATTTATCCCAAACTAATATTTTAATCACAAAAAATCCAAAACTGGTACACCTGTGACAAATTTACCCAAAATTAATTTTTTTGACCACAAAAAATCTTAAATTAGTACATTTGTGACAATTTTACCCTCTATTAGTTTCGTTAAATTGGATTAATGCCAAAAAAATCACAAATTTGTATACCTATGACAAATTGAGGGTAAAAACCCAAACTGGTACATCCGTCAACTGCCATGTGTCATTTAACTCAGCAATTTAACAGTAAAATTTAACGGAAACTAACGGAGGGTAAAATTGTCACAGGTGTACCAATTTGAGGTTTTTTGTGGTCAAAAAATTAGTTTTGGGTAAATTTATCACAGATGTATCAGTTTGAAGTTTTTCGTGGTATTAACCTTATTAATTATTCCATCTTGTGTTTAGTGACCTACCTCGGACAAGATATATTCGAGGTTATATCCGAATTAAGCTAAGGTATGTTTGGTAACCATTATGTTCTCGGGAACAATTTCTGTTTTTAAAAAGTTTTTTCTATTTCTACTCTCATGACGAGTTTCTGAGCAAAAGAACGCGTTTGGTAACCGTACAAAATTTTTAATTTCGAAATAGAAAAAGAACAAAAATGCATTTGGTACGACCCTAAAAATTCATATTCTCAATTTTTTCATTTAATTATAAAAATGCCAATGGAGACTTAACAATATATGTTTGGATAAAACTGGACTAGA